ACAAAGATAAGCAAGCTCTTTATCTTTTCTCATGGCCTGAAGAAACCAAATTCAATCGTGTGACATTAACTAATATACAGACCTCTCATCTAGAAAATATAGACTAATAGATTTCTCTCTTCCCTAATAATGATAGACCAAAATGAATAGCAGAAATCCAAAAAGACTAATCCCTTACTTCCCAGTTAATGCACATAAGTATTCAAATGCAGATTTTATCCTAATTTCCCACATAGTAAAGACTGAAAACACAGCCACACACTCTTCAAAAAGGAGCCCATTTGCCAAAACAATGACAAATACATAACCCAAGAAAAGAAAGAAGCTCTTTCTTCATCTACTAATGATAGAAAAATGTAGAGCAATACCAAAAAGATGAAGTCTTTACTTCCCAATTAATGCACACAAGGATTCAAATGTAGAGTTTTATAGCCAATTTCCCACATGGTACCATTGAAACACAGAGAAACTCTTCACAAATGAGCACATTTGCCAAAACCGAGTAAAAGAAAGCCATTTCTTGATCTAATTGGTTCTCCCAAAATTGAAAGAATAAGAGAAGAATCACCTCAAGAGAAGCTTGAGCAAGGTCATAAATGGTTGGCCATTTCTGCATCCAACGTTTATAATAGTCCATTACAGTCTGAACCCTAGTTTGCTGGAGCATAATCTCCGATACCCAAACCTCATAAGCTCTTCTCTCCTTTTCACTTTCACTTCTTCTCTTCCTCCATGGAAGATCTCGCTGATTCACATCGTACCAATCAAGCATACCCATTCTGATTTCCTGAGTTTCATTTTCGCTAAAGAGATCCTCTATATCTCCTCCAAGCGGTTCTTCTTCTTCTTCTTCTTCTTCTTCTGCTTCTTCTGCTTCTTTTTCTACTCGTTCTGCTTCTTTTTTCTCTCGACACTTTCTCATGAGTTTCTCGCGAGGAGCAGAAGATTGCGACATCGTTTTGGTCGTAAAGCTCCAAACTTTGCAATGAAAACTTAGAATTGTCTTTGGATTTTGTATCTCTGAAGCGACCGTGAGAAATTATCTCGTGAGTCCCCTTTTGTCCAAGCATCGTCTCATATCTCCCCTAATAAAACACAATTTTATTTTTATTTAAAATTAAATCGAAAACTATGGATATTACTGATATACCCCAACCGAAACCTCAATATTACTGCTAAAACCTGGATCTATTCGAACCAAACCCGATCCATTCTCAACCCACCCATCCCCATATTCTTTACGTTTTCTCTCTTTTGTTTTTGAAATCGACTTCCTCTCATCCCCAATTCAAAGAGAAAACCCTAACCTTCAAATCTTCAAATCTTGCTCCGACTTCCTCTCCTCTTCAAATCTTCCCAGAAACTGTAATTGAGAGATTGCGAAATCATCTTCCAACTTTATTGATTCCTTTTCTCGTTTCTTGTATCCCGTTTCGAAACCTCTCCGATAATGCCTCCAAAGAAAGGGTTAAAGAGGAAGAGATTAGCAAAGGCAACGACGGTGGAGCCAGGCTCGACGGAGGAGCCATCCCCGACGGTGGAGCCATCCACCACAACGACGGTGGAGCCAGGCTCGACGGAGGAGCCATCCCCGACGGCAATTGAGGGAGAACAAGTCCCGGAGACCTTAAGTCCGGTTTTAGAAGAGTCTGACAAGAATGAGGAAGAAAATTCTAAGAAGAATGAGGAAGAAGAGAGTGGCGAAGAAGAAGACGACAAAGAAGAAGAGAAAGAAGAAGGGAATGAGGAAGGGAATGAGGAAGGAGAGGAGTCCTCCTCCGATGATGGTAGTAGATCTTTGGACAGAGAGTCCTCCTCCGATGAGAGTAAGGAGGATGAGATTGCGCCGGAAAATGCGTCCGAAAATGCTATGGTAAGTATTTGAATGGTGTGAAACTGGTAGAACAGGGTAAAACTATGTGTATATTTGGGTACTACTGGTAGAACAGGATAAAACTATTATGTATTGGTATAACTGGTAGAACTGGGAATACTATGTGTTTGAATTCTGGGTATAACTGGTAATACTAGGGCATTACTATATGTTTGATTTCTGGGTAATACTGGTATTACTTGGGTATAACTATGTGTTTGAATTCTTGGTGAAACTGGTATTATTGGAGTACAACTATGTGTATATTTTCAGGGTAATACTGGTAATACTGGTAATACTATTCGAAGAATAATGATATATGGATGAATGTATGTTCTGTTGTAGGAGATCGACGAGGAAACATGAGCAATACCACCGCTGAGTATGTATTTCCCGCCTTCAGAATATGTGAAGAAAATCAAGCTATCAACTCGGTGCTATATTCACGAAGTGTTGACTACATTCGATGAGTTGGAGCCTCCGATGAGCAAGTCTGAGAGGGCATTTTTTGAGAATCATCCGAGTTTTCAACACGTCTTCCACATGCCAAGAGACCCAAACCACCGACTTATGGGGATGTGGATGCTTCTTCTTCGCACAACGCCATTTCGAATGGTGGGTTGTAAGGAAAACCCAAAATCGAATGTTCGAAATGACTGGAGAAGATGCTACGTCCGTAGAGCCATTTGGGAGAAAATTTCGACTTTTTAATTTATTCCACACGGTCTTCTACTTCTTATCTAGCATTGTTATTGGGCACACAAAGACCGGAGAAGATGCTACGTCCATGGAGTCATATTTTCTAAGAGCGTTGTATGATATGAACTATTTTGGGTTGCACTGTTTCTAATCTTTGTTCATTGTTTACATCCCACATGAAATTGATAGTATCATGGTAGCTGGAGGTGAAGAAGAATATACCTTCTTCACATATCTTTGTCTTATAGTTGTTGTTTAGATTTGTACAATTGGTAATACTAGGTAAAACTATGTTGGTTTTGTTTTTTTGATTTATACTACTGGTATTACTAGGTAAAACTATGTGCACCGTCAAATTTACACATGTGCAAGTCAAATTTACACATGTGCGCCGTCAAATTTGGGGGAAAACCCAAAAAAATGGGAGAATTTCAATTTTGGAACACGTGGGCCCCATCTTATCCACGTGTGCGCCGTTTTTTTCCACCAGTGCGCAGCTTTTTTTAAACATAGTTGTACCAAGTTATTGGTTGTACCAATTTTCTACATAGTTGTATTTTTGGTGTTTTTCAGTTTAACCAGTATTACATATTCTAAAAAATTGCTTATCTAGTTGTACACTTGAGTGAACTCTATAATTATAGAATTCTTAATGTTTTTTGTAATCATATGTTAAAAATATATAAAATTGTAAATTTTCCATCCTAAGTTGGTGTTTTTATAAAAAGTGAACATAAAAGTTTAAGGATTATGTTGTATGGAGTCTATTAAAACAATCCGATATGATATAATTTTTTTTTCTCACTTAATTTATTTTATATCAGTTATAAGAGTTCATTATCACTTAATAGTCAGTGTAATATTTAATGTTGGAAAAAACAAATTCGAAATTCAAATTCCTTCATAAGTTATACTAGTTTTACTAGTATTACCAAATCTCGTTATTAGTACTACTTTTTATACAAGTTTTACCCATTTGCCATAGAAAAAAACATAGTATTACATCAGAAAAAAACTAGTGTTACATAGTTGTCCAAGTCGAAATTGTTTTACAAATCATAAAGTGCAGATAAAATCAAATACTATGATTGCCAAATAACAACCACAAACAAAACAAAACATAACCTCCACTCTCCACAGTTGCTCTTCCTCTGATCCCAACAGCACAGCATTGTACCTCATTTGCAATTTAACATTACTTTCATCTAATCCAAGCTTCGTGCATATCCTACCTTCTAACATGGAGAGAGTTATTTTCCCCCTGATGTATTCATCATCAAACTATACATGCGACCTTTGCATTTAAAATATATGATCACGTTCTCCATCATTGTATCCTGCAAAAACAATACAAAAACTTTGTCAGTTATACTAGTTGTACTAGTTGTACTACAATTCTGGGTAATACTAGTATAACTAGTCAGACTACATGTAAATGGGTAATACTAGTGTAACTAGTCATACTACATACATCTGGGTAATACTAGTATAACCAGTAATACTACGTATATATTTTTCAATAGATTCAGGTACAATTCTACCCAGTTATACCAGTTGTACTTTCGCGACAAGAACTCAAATTGAATGGTTTCGGGTTCAAAACTACAATTCACTATGATTCAGTTGCTGTAATCCATTTCTTACCCATTTACAGACCTATTCGACCCAGAAACTATGCATAAACTTCCAATGTGCATACCCAAACACAATAACCCAAATCTAATTGAATTGAATCTCCTACATTTCTAAATCCAAAACTTCAATTTGAAGCTCTATGCAGCTCGAACAACATACCTTTTCTCTCTATCTCGACGCAGCTCGCCGGAGGAGAGGATACGACTGCAATGGCGACTCAAATCGAATTTTCCGGCGAGGAGAGCTCGAGCTCGAGCGTTCTCACGTTTTTTTTTTTTTTTTTTCTGTTTTCGATTTTTTTTTCATTTCAAAAATTAATTAATTAAAATGAGGGAAAAAAAAAGAAAGGGTAAAATCGTCAGATCACATCTCATTAATTGAGAAGGGGATATGTAGACATAAAAGGGATATAAGAGGTTTATGATTTACAAAAGGGGAGTTATGAGACATTTTCTCAGCGACCGTTGATCTTTCAAATGTAGGGTTTAGAGCCACGCGAAGAAGACAAGCCATTCAATTAGGGAAGAATGGACTTTATTGACACTTTCTTATAAAATTAGCGAAATTAGCAATTTTGCTATTTATGGGGGACGAACTATGCAAAATAACATAACTTTTGGGGTAAAATGTAATTTATATATTAAAGGACTTGTTGACACACACCATTAAACAGTCTTTCTTTGCCCATACACGAAAACAACAAAAAAACAAAAGATTTTGGCAATCAAACTCAAAACTGAATGTGGATACTATCTAAAATGTCTGTACATATTATCTCAAGTCACTTGGATTGTAGAATTTTCCAATGTTATTGGATAATGCACGAACTAAACATTCTTCCTCTATACAATCTTCTTCCTCTATTCTATCGCCGTCCTTGATGTCCAGATGATTAGCTACAACTACCGCTTAGACGCTCGCCTACCTGCAATAGAGTAATCCACACAAGTGAGATACTCAAACCATCCAAGAAACAAAGAACAGGCAAGACAAGAAACTTGAGTTGTAATAATAGATTTTGGAAAAGTATGATCATACTTGTATTTCTGGTCCGGCATAATGGTTGATTCCTCTCAGGTTGAGCTTTTTCCACATAGGGAGCAATCAAGGTATCCAATTTTACCAACCAGAGAGCAATCGCAGAAGTTGTTTGAGGCATTGAAGGGAAGCAATTTATGATTTCTCCCATTAAAGTCTGCCCTTGATCACTAGAGTGCCATACCCAATCTTCATTGATTGCCCCAACAAAGTCACCAATTACCTTCATAAATTGCACAATTTTTTATCAATTAAGATGCACTTAGAGGACAGTCAATTTGAACTAGAATAAGGAGCTTATATAATAGAATGAAACCTGCGTAATTTCAGACACAGATGAGCTTCGCCGAAGTCTTTTGGCCCATAACCTATGAGCTGACTTTCTCCATGCACCAATCAAGGCATCTTCAGGCATAGCAGACTGCAAAACGTTTCAGCACACGCAAAATAACAGATTCATTTCTTAATACAAACCACGAAAGTAAAAATTTGAGCACTTAAGAAAAAAGTCAAGCAAAAGACTATTGACATACCTCAATGGCATATACTGCAGCCTTTAGTGATTGCAACTGGGAAGATAGAACTTTATGATCCGGAAATGTATCACACTCTTCTTTCCTACTACATGTGGCCGCATGAATTGCATATCTTTCTTCAAGATCTATATCAACCTCAAACGTGGCATGACAAATCTTACAGTGCTTCTCATCTCTCCAATACAAATCATGGCAACTCTTACACCTAGTAAGTGAATCAAGGTAGGATCTTCGGCGGTGTTTAACAGCATTTAGATTAAAATTAAAATTAGCCCATATCCATTCATCAAACTCTTGAAGAAGGCTCCACAATAGGCTTTTCTCCTGCTTACTTCCAATCTCAAATACTATAGCCGCATGTTGCGAGGAGAATTGATCATTTGCAATATCACTAAGACATAGGTTGTTGTCTATATCAGAAACCGGTGAAGAACTATCCTCTCTGACTATGTCTGTGAAATGGGCTGACTCCGACTGGGTCACCTGTCTATTCAGCATGGCTTGACAAAGAAAACTTTCCCGTTTCTCCAACGACTCAATAAGACGAGCTTCCCGTCTGCCCCTATCGTCCAAAACTGACAACAGCGCCCGCAAAGCCTACACCAAGCAAAAAATCAGGCACAGAATTATACAACTTTCAATACAGGTTTCCATTTAACCAGCACAGTGATTAAGATTTCAGGAAGAGCACAATGACATTACCTCCTTGTTGTTGATAACTTCCCAATGACCATCTTCAGAAGATTCAAAGAACACACACCTATGACCAGGGTCATTTGCATTGCATGGGCCTAAGAAAAGCCAGTACCTGTTGAACCTACGATCAGACCCAAGGTACACAGATTGCATAGGGTGAACAATATTAGCTTTATCTCCAGCCAGCTTTGCAAAGGCCCCCACAATTGATGAAGAATCAACTGGATGAGAATCAGACAATTTAGATAGCGCTTTCATTCCATGAAGCTCTCCTCCATGGACCCATGATCCACGTGGATAGCTGTACTGATTAGAGGAGGATCTCTTAATTTTTCCACCAGAACCATGACTATAGATACTAGGGGCACAGTCAACCATAGCTCTCGGTAGATCCTGTGGTGAAAAATAAAAGTTAGCACTATGCACCAGAGATATATAGCTGTAACAAAAAAAGCTTTCTCCAATAACTGCCAAAAAGAACTGTCATAAACAGACACAATCTTTAGTCAAGGAGCCGTCAAAATCACATGGATCAAAAGTCCATCTGCCCAAGCTTTTGTTAGAGATGCAATGATGGAGCGATCTATCACTCAGGTTTTTAAAAGTTATTCAGTACCTCAAGACCCAATTGAAATATTTGGTCTAGATAGTATGGGGATTACCTCCATTCTGATAGTGGAACCAGAACTAAGAAGATCAATCAAAGCCACAAAAACATCTAACTTCTCTTCAATTCTTAGGTCTGAATATTCCCCTTCCATTAGCCCCAACAGCCATGGTTCTCCGGGATGGCTTTCATCAATCTCACTACATACTTCCCACGTTTTACTTTTATGCTTCCGCCTTTTCCTACACTTAACTTTTCGAAATGCAGGATTTTCTGGAACATGTTCAATTTCATCACCAGAACTAATTGAGCAATCATCAGATTCATCATCAACACTCCCAGAGTTGTCCGAATCAGACTGGCTCTTGTCAGGGTCCTCAGAGAAAAAATTAACACGTACACGATATGTTGATTCTGATATCTTTTCGAACAATGTAATATCACTTGCTAGAGTTGAACATATTGAATTCTCTCGTTCTTCTGGCGCAGTTGCAAAATTTAGCACAGCAACCTACAAGACCACACACCATCAGCATATTCCATTAGATATCATCTGGAATTTCAGAAGGCAGCCAAACAGTACAAGTAAACGACCAACCAAATTTAGTCCAAATTTATCACTTTATTTACAAAACTTACCTCTGGAGCATTGGCTAACTCGGATATTTTCAAGCCATTATTGCCTTTATCATTAAGCATTCTAAATAATTCACCCTTTAACGTTCCAAGACGAAGGCCATACTTTTTCATGAGTCTCCTTTCCTAGAGAAAGAAGAAAGGTAACATCAACCAACAATGCATTAGAAAAGAAAACAACGCACTAAACAACACAAACATGTGGATCTCAATAATAAAATAAAATCGAGTAAGAGCCTTCAATTCCCCACATGTAACTGATCTACCTTCAAGAATAAAACAAATACATGCTAGTTGCTGAACTTCAATAGGAAAGAAAAGGACAAGAGAATCATCATGGTCTTGAATAAAATATAGCCAAGCAAATAAAGTCAACAACCAATGTTTCAATGGATCAAACGTGTCAGCAAGAGTAGATATCAGCACCTTACTTAAATCTTCTGATTGAACAGCACACTTCACTGAGCCATAACCAGCGGCAACCAATATCTGGCGCAATATTTCCGTCCATGTAAGAGAATTTAATGAATCCCTCCACATATCAAGAATAAGAATTTGGCTCTCAACCTGAAAAATATCATGGAAAATGTCAAAACCTGTCCTGCTCTTCTCCTTTTTTATGCGTTTATGAAAACAAATTAGAAAAGGAAGCACGCTGAAAGACAGGCCATGGAGACAGGAACATTTTACCATAAATTATCTAATGTTGATCTTAAAACTCCATTATACTATCAAGTTCAAAAATAGCTCAACATTAGTGCATACCGACTGAAGCAGGGCTAGAAACTTGCATGATATACTCAAGTTTGAAAAAGATCCCCTTTGCAGCTCGGTTTCAATATCAAGCAAAAGTAACTTCAGCAGGGAAAGATGAATTTTACCAAGGAGCAAGGAATCCTGAGGTTCAAACAAATAAAGAAGACATACAATATAAATTGTTTGTCAGAAAGTTAAAGCGAGAATGAGAAAGTTATGCGATAGAACAAACAATTTCCTTCCACAATAGAAAATTGTATAAAATTGAGCATTTGTTATCACTTATCAGAGAAGAGCGACCACCTTATCGTGAAATGCCCGCGTGAAGTTATCGAGTGTAAAAGGACATATATCAAGAGTTACTGAATAAGTATAAAGGAAATGGACAACCTGCCAAGAGAGTACTGAGTCACTTCCAAGAAAGTCAGAAATGAGAGGTAATTTATGAACACACTAAGAAATTCAAGTGCCAATTTTGACAGTTTACAAACCTTAAACAGTTTCTTCACAGACTCTGGGGAAGAATTCCATGGATGCAAACCAAAAGGCACCCTCATCTGAACAGAATTTGGGGGAAACTTGGGCAGTAAATCTAGAAACAACAAAAAACTGTTAGAAGACCGCATGGCACTGGTAACAAAAGAACATGAACGAAGACTCTTTCATGTAACACTGACATACACACCTTTGCAAAGAAAACAACCATGAGAGCCACTACTAGGATGATGGCATGAACATGTCAAAGGATTTCCTCGCTCCTGTCGCTCACGCATCTCTAATTCTTCATCATCCACTAGTATCGAAATTGTTTGGCAGGTTTCTTTAAATACCTCCCCGTCCGCGGCAAGCTCACAGTTTTCTTTAAATGCCCTTTGAGTTTCATCTTTGTTTAATTCCGCCTGCAGCAAAGAGTCAAATCTTTGTTTGCATGTGACTATAATGAATCACAAGTTCCAAATAAAGCTCAAGCTACCTCTCTATTTATAGAACGCCTCTTCTTTTCTGTCGACTTCTTCTGCAACAATTTCTGCTTCTGAAGAAAGAAAATTGCAGTTAGCAAGAAATTTAAGAGAAAAAGGCAACAGAAAGAAAATGAATCATAATTATGAAAGATAAAGTAGGTAACAAATACCAGTATTGATGCTAAATGTCTTTGCTTTTTCTTTTGATGTGGGGGATTACGTGCTAAGCTTTGAGGTAATGTAGCTCTTTCGTACAATAAATCAACGCAAGGAGATACATCCCTCCTGTTGGGATTCATTACCCGCCATACAGTCATCAAACCCTTTCCAACACCATGTTTCATCACAGTACCATTCTCTTTAATGCAATCCTGACTGGTGCGATCCATCAGCTCAGAAATCTAAAGACAGTTAAGATCAGGGAATAAGTAACTTAGCATATCCAGATAAAAATACTTCATGAAACAACACATAAGATATATCCACTACCTTTCTCTTTCTTGCCACTCTCTGTTTCTGTTGATCGACAGATGAAGTGCCCAGCCAAGAAGCTAGCACAAGAGAAAGAAGTCCACGTTAGAATCAACATAAATATACCATACTTTTTAAGTCATGCACAAATCAAGTCTGCACTCGTTCAGAGTCCAATTATCCAGTAATGGCTATTTTTCGTTAGAAAAATCAAAACTAATATGAAAACACTAACTTCATAGCCACAGTATAAATGCTTTGGTGTTGATATTCAACTTTTCAGAAACCTTAGCCTTCTTCACAGGGTATACAGGTTTTATTTTGCAATGTAGCCAAAAAGGTAAATATACCTTTGCGAGCTCCCGACGGGAGATGATCAAATTCAAAACCAAGCGATGGACCGTCCTTTCGAAAAATCTTAGCCAAAATATGTGATGAAGGCAACAACGTTTGACAAGTGGCTTTCCTTGTTCCCATACTACATCTTTCCTCAACAGCTGGTCCAACGCATCTGGAAGATGTGGAACTCCTCATGATGGATCTATCGTATGTCTGAGGATTCTTTGCTCCCAACCCATCATTCGCCATGGATTTTACACTTTTCCCTCTACTCCTCCTTCTCTTGAACCATCCACGTACTTCCTTCACTGTTAAGCCTATAGACTTGCCCAAGTCCTCCATTTCCTTAGGAGTCGGATACATTTGCTCTGCTATCACATATATGTCAACAATCAGAGGCAGACCCAAATATAATATAAGAGAAATAGATCCAAGGTAAATTATATTCAAAAAGGTAGCACAAGAGGCTAATTCTAGATAAATTTCTTAGAAAATGATCAACACCCACAAAATCTAACATATCATCTTATGTAAATAATAAAAAAGATTTCATACCCAAATAAAAACTCTCAAGAGCTTCAAGTTGAACTGGCGATTTCCTCTTCATTTCTCTGGATGTGGCTTTTTCACTTAAATAACTTGAACAATCTCTTACTCTTCAGGTATCAAAAGCAAGGGCATGATAGTCAAAGCCGTCTCCAACAATTCTACAACATCAATCAATCAATTATCAAAAAACAAAGAGCATAAGAAGAAGCGATCACCACTGATCACTTAAATCGCTACTCTAAATACACCAAATCCAAAATTCCCAGAAATGAATTCATCAAAAAATGGATTCAACCCAAATAATAGCATCAGATGATTAACACACGAAATCAAAAACAATCACCCAGAAACTAAAATTTCCATAGTGGCTTAGACACTAAAATGAAGACCCTAAGAAGCAATACACAACAGTAGAAGTGAAATTAGAAGCAAAGAGCCAAGTCAATCACAAAGCCCATCAGAATTGAAGATACCCAAGTCTCAGTTTCAGCGAAATTGATTTAAATCACAACGAAATGACGATGATGATGCTGATAAGTGATAACTGAACTAAGAACAGTCACTACACACAAAAAACTAAACCCAGAAAATGAATGGAAACTTACAGAGAGAGAATCAAGTGCAGAGAAATGGAAGAAAAAAGAAGGTAGAAGAAGAGTAAGATTTTAGAAAGAGGAGAGAGTAGGGTTTTGGGTTTTTTATCATCTTCCCTTCTTTCTCTGATTCTGGGGTTTTACGGATATTTTTTTTTTCACACTCTTTTTTTTTTCTCTTCTCTTAAAATGCTAAAAATATCTCTGTTCATAACACGACGTCGTTTACGTCAGTCTAATTAGGGTTTTTCGGGAAAGGATCATTCCACCGGTTTAGAACCCGGTTATTTCAAAATTGAACCGGATCATCATTGGTTTCGAGATACATATATTAATTTAACCTCGCAATCTCGTTTCTTCAAAGGTCTTTGTGTCATCATCAATGGAGAAATTGGAAAAACCAGCTTCGACAATTCCGAAGCGGACCTCAAATAAATCCCAGCCCGAATTCGATTACTCTTTAAGGAAACAAAAGGTTCCTTTCAATCTCTGTTTTAGATTACCTGAATCTGTGTTCTGAATTGGGTTTTGGATAATTATGTCTTGAATTGTGTACATAGCTTTCATGGGTTTGTTGTGTTATGCTTGTTGACTAAAGTATGTGAAAATGGCATTGATATATATACACAGTTCAGAGAAAATTGCTTCAGAAGAGTTAGAGAAGATAGGACTCGTTTACTGTGGAAATTGAGGATCTCTGATTGTCAATCTTCAGATCAAAAGGTTTGTTTTTTTTTTCTCTTCTTGCAATCTCCACAATGGAAGAAAAAAAAGCTTGCTTTGTTTAGCCTTGTTAATGGGGTTTTTTTTTGTTTCAGGAGATTATCAATTCTGCTTTCCAGGATATTGTTTCTGATGAATTGAAAAAGATCAAGGATTCGTCGAGAAACCTTTCGGGGAATCCGACTGTGAATGAAGATTGTGATGATATATTATGGGAATATGAGGAGGGTCTTAAAGGTGTTTTTGAAGGTGATAGTGAAGATATATTGTTAGAAATGCAACAGATATTCTACAAGGATTTGTTATCAGACAACGGTAAATTTTTCTACTTTGCTTTGACGATTTCTCCACGAGATTTCCAATGAATGCCTTGTGGGTATTTTACTTACTTCTTCTTCTTCTTCCAGGATCAGATGTTCAGATCGAAACATGGGAAGACGAGGAAGATGATTACTTGGCCGCCTTAGTTTCTCAGAATATGTGTTTAAACAGTGAACAGGTAGGTTCTCTTTCACAGAGCAGAATTGTCTTCTCAAAACCTTAGAAACCAGTTAACTGGTCTGATATGTTTGTCAGGAGCAAAACCAGATATGGTGTCCGATATGCAAGAAAGGAGAGCTTATGGAGAATAACCGACACATCTATTGCAACATGTGTGAAATGCAGCTTAATAAAGGCGAAGAGGTGCAGATTCTTTGTCCTTGTAGCTCTCTTTGTTACTCTAATAAGCCACTGAACTTGTCATTGATTCTTACATATCAGGTTAATCTGAATATTCTGCAAGAAAGGTTAGCAGAAGTGCACGCTGAACATCTCGAGAGAGGATGCAGATTAAAACCCAAATTCAGTGTTCAGAGTGTGTATAATTTGAAGGCGTTGTACATAACATGCGAGGCTTGTAATACGTTTGAGGTTGTTGTATAAAGCTCTTAACATAAAGAAGGATACACATCATTTATCCTGTATATCACTCGAGATCATTATAGGTTAGGCATGATGTATAACTGCAAATACATATGGTTTATTTTGTTAGACCATACGAAAATGGGAATGATTCTAGGGACATCCAATTTGGTACGGTCAAACATATTCCTAATGTGTCTGCAAGACTGCAACTCGAACAAAATGATCAATATGCAATTTAGGTCCGAAAACAAGTTGTAAAATAGATGGGGTCTTTGTTGAGACTGGTAATGACAAAAAAAGCAAACACAAGACTATGTATCTAGCCTGATGGTACTGAATCCAGACCGCAAGGTGCGATGAATCAAAAAAGCCACAGAAAATAACACAAGGCCACTTAAAAGAATGTTCATATATGCATATATAAATAGTTTGGAAACAACAGTACACAGCTCTCAAGTATTGTGACTTTTGATACAGAAATTAACATCAATACATTTGGCATCATACTCTTAAAGAAGGGTAATGATAAGGAAAAATTAGCAACAAAAAAGGAATGCCCAATTGCTGCGTGGTATATGATGATGCAGTGATGGGTAATCAATCTGGGGAATACATACTCTATCGACAACTCTCTGCTTCCAACTTGGGCACCATTTTTGGCTTTTGAATGAATGCCACATGCTTTGTCTTTTGCGCGAGAGATGAACAACACTCTCAAAAACATAATCCCAGTTTTTTTCAAAAGAGTTCTTCTGAGTTGAACTTGTTCCATGCTTCCTGTTTATTGTCATGAGAAAATAGATGAAGCCAGCAAATATGGATTTGTACAATTGTGCGGTTCTAGTCATCCATGAGAAGACGCAGTCTAATTGGATATTTTTGGTGGCACCTGAAGTAGCAGTGATGGATTTAGTTCCAGAGAGATGGTGAATCACTTACCTTGAGCATGTCGAAAACTTTCTCGGCAATGTATTTCTGCTGGAGATTGGCTCCTTTTTGCTGAACTTTGTCAGGATGTATACAGAGAGTAGCCTTCCTGTAAACTTTCTTGACAGATGCTCCGGTAATTAAATCGGTCAATGAAACAGGCTGCCAACCGCATTCTGGCCAAAGAACCTGCTCATTTACATAACAACATCAGAAGAAATTGTGGCGTCATAACATCAAAGGTTCAAATAAACATCAGAGTTACAAATAATAAAGAGAACGGACAATAAGACATACATATTGTAATGTCGAAAGCAGAGCACGCAAGTTTCCCTCCTTCCCTGCACCCCAACGTCTTATCTCAACATCCAGGGTCTCACCAATCCTCTGAAATCCAGGATAAGTATGGTGATTAAACAAAAAAAAAGACGGATAGGATCAAGGATGGTCATTGTTGAGACAGTTCCTAAGGTGGCACAATATATTTACACTAATGACTGCAAGAGGGCCCAGACTTAAGTGTCTCAACAAAGAAATATGATTGAGATGGGCACAACTGAGGAGGGAAAAAAGAAAAAACCACATGTAAAGATATCAAACTGAAAACGTGGTAATGAAAGTTACATCTTTCTCAGCTTGTTCTCTTTGTACTTGAAGATCACGTTCATTTTTCTCAGCAAGTGCTTTCGCCTGATTGAGAAAAGAATTCATGTTATAAAACATACTGGCAAATCTTGTGTCAATGTCAGATAAAAAACCCATCAAATAAAAACTCTAATGATACATACAGCCCGCTCCTGTGTCCTCTGGTGGCGTTCCAGCCTGGCACGTCGTCTCTCTTCAGTTTCTCCATCAACATCTTGAAACCCACCAGATTGGGTAGCTGAAGCTTTTTTACAACACAAAAGGTTTCAGTAGGTTACCAAGTTAAAAGATATGAAAATAAAGTGCGTAGCGACGGAATATTATGGATGAACCTCAGAAATTGCACTACCTCCAAATATTGAACTGAGATCATCAACAATGTTTGTTACTGAAGAGGCCTTTCTCAAGTTCTCTGTTGGGCCAGAAGGCACTCGCGAAGATCCCCTGCTAGATTCGAAAGATCCTCCTTTGTTCCATGAATCCTGGAAAGGATCCTGACACACAACCAGAGTTATAGGAGGAGTCAAATCACCTGTAAAGTACTTAAAGCAGAACAGAAGTAGATAATCCCATCTCACCAGAGGGTTGGTTCTCTGTCGTGGCACACTGTTTGGTCTAGAAATTGAGCTAAAGAAGGAGTCAAGATCATTGTTATTTTCTTGCTGCTGCTTAGCTTTAGCTTGGGCAGCTGCCCTTCCACGTGCTTCAGCAGCTGCCCTTTCCACAGCAGCTCGTTCTGCCCTAACCCTTGCTTCCTTCTCCCGCGCTTCAGCATTCACCCTTTCTCTAGCTTCTGCTGCAGCTTTCTCAGCCTTTTCTCTAGCTTCTGCCGCAGCTTTCGCTGCCTTTTCTCTTGCCCCTGCAGCTGCCCTTTCACGTGCTTCAGCATGGGCTCTTTGAACTGCTGCTCTTTCGGCGCGCTCACGGGCATCGGTGGCCTTCCCAACAGCAGCTCTTTGAACTTTCGCATGAGCTTCAGTGGCTGCTCTTTCGCGAGCTTCCCTTGTAGCCCTCTCTACAGCCTGTCTAGCCAACAGTCTTTCCCTTTCTCTCTCAATTCTTTTCTGCTCTCTTTCTCTCTCCTCTCTCTCCCTCTCCTGCTCTTTTACCATCTCTGCCTCCCTCTCTGCCCTTTCACGGTCCAATCTCACTTGCTTTTCTCTAAGTTCCCTTTCACGAGATTCATAATTCTCTGTTTGATCTTCTTCTCTATTTCTACTTGCCTTCAAATTTTCTTTCACTCTCCTTTCCTTAGCATGCCTAAACTTTGCTTCTGCTTTATCCATGGCATCCTTCATGGCAGCAGCTGATGCAGCGGCAGCAGAAAAAACATCTGAATCTTCACCAGAGGGAGGATCAGGATATCCATTAGCAGCGGTCTGATTTCTGCTAATAGAAAAATCGTCGAGTTCATCCATTTGAGATGCTGTCGGGCTATTTACAGAAGCTCTACCTGAGCTAGGAACGTGTGAGTGGTTAGTAGAGGCCGGTATAGAAGGCTCGTTAACCTTCTTTTTTATAGGACGTGTAGGTCTTGGTGGTGGAGGTCTCGAAGGTGGCGGAGCACTCGTAGGTTGCGTAAAGAGGGGGATCTCGGAAACAGTAAGCCACACATCATCAGATGACTCAAAACTTCCATTTGAATTGGTAGGTGGCGGAGTACTCGTATTCTGTGGCTCTAAAACATCATCAAATGAAACTTTCTTAGAATGGTAACTCCCAGGACTTTCTACTGGTGGTGACTGGGAGCCACTGATGTTTCCTGGTGGTCTCAAATGACTTTTGCCTCTACTATTCATATCCGGCCCTGATTTTCCAAGACTATCGAGAGGGTCAATATCAACAAACACACCTCTGTGGACAGATGAATTATCAGTTTTTCTGCTGTTGAATTTACCAATATCCTCCAATGGATCAGTGAACCCTCCCGTGGAAGGTTCTCTAGGGGTTGATGCAGACTCCTCCAAGACTACAAATGGGTCTTCTTCCACATTGGAAGATGTCTCGGCAGTCTGATACAGAGGTTTCTGGGATTGATCTGTTGTCTCTGAAGTTGTCCTGCAAAAAAAGAGTGGAGCATCAATCAATTAATAAACAGATTATGCCTATACCATCAAAAATCAAAATGAAATTTTGCATATAAACAAGTTATGCTTCAGAGACTTTGTGGGAGTTATCTTCTAAGTTAAAGAGAAACTTGTATTGTATGCAAGCAAACATACCCTTGAGCAAGCTCTCAAGACAGGTTTAGGAGAAACAAATTTGAAGAGCAATGAACGGATATAAAGACATTAAATATAGTTCAGGCTACAAAGCCAGATGTAACAGCTATCAAGTCAGCTCTAGCTCCTCCATAAGCACTAATATAGTTCATGCTACATTGATTTCATCCATGCTACATCAAATTTCATTACGTGATGGCTCTAAGCTCTACACCCTTAACTCCTTTCACACAAGCAAGCTCTCAGATTTGAAGAGCAATGACCGGATATAAAGAACAATGACTCTAACCACAGATCAAATGAAATTTTGCATATGAATGACCCTAACCACAGATCAAAGGTTGAAGATTTCTCTTCTAAGTTCCAGAAAGCGACACATAAGAGAACCTTGTGTGCTAGCAAACAGCTCTTCAATAAGACATAATATAGTTCATGCTACATGTCATTATATAACTGTGATGGCTCCAAGCTCTAGACCCTTGAGTAAACTCTCAAGTCAGCTTTAAGGAGAAACAAATTTGAAGAGCAATGTCATTCAAGTTTGCATATGAATGACAAGCAAAAGGTTGAAGCTTTTCAAAGTTTCAGAGAGTAATATAAAAGAACCTTGTAGACTTGTAGTATGCAAGCAAACAGCTATCCATAAGCACTATACAGTTCAAGCAAACCAATATCAAAACATTATACCCTTGACTCAAATCACGCAAGAAAGCTTTCAAATTTGAAGTAAGCAGCTCTCCATAAGCACCAAATGCTACATTCCATGCTCTAAGCTCAATATCCTTGAGTCATTTCACGCAAGCAAGTTCTCAAATTTGAATAGCAGCAGTGAGTGACCCTAACTAGCAACCACAGATAGAGAAGAAGAAGAGTGAATATTACCGTTTAGGAGGAGGAGAGCTATTGCGACCAAACCCGGGAATCAAGTCGTCAAAAATGGAGCTACCCTCGTGCTCTCGGTCACTCTCTGTCCCTTTCTTCCCCAAATTGTTGCCCATGAGATCATCGAAAGGAGAACTGTTCTGTTTCCTGTGCTTAGGAGGTGAAGAGAAAACATCATCAAACCTAGCAGATTGAGAAGAAGTGGATGGGATTTTGAGCTCAGGAATAGACTCAAACACATCCTCATCATCATACACAGGCTTGTCATAGACCGGCATGGACGACGCTGGTTTGGATTTGGGTTCCTTAAACATAGCATCATAGTCAAAAGCAGGAGCAGGTGGAGAACGAGAATCGCCAGAAGAGGATCCGTACTTTGGTGGTGGTCCGCTAAACACATCTTTGAAGAGAAGATCATCACCATCTCGACCAAGATCGTCAAACACCGGCAAAGAATCGGACTTTTTACCGGCGGCGTTGGCGAAGCTATAAGAAGAAGCGAAACTGTTGAAATCAGCGGCAGAAGAGTTCGATTGAGACGCCATGGGAGCTGATTTGCCTTGAGGTTTCAATCCGAAGTCTCTCGCTAACAATCCTGTGAAATCATCCATTGGATTTCAATTTCTCTACCTCCAAAATCGAAAAGCTTTAGATTTGCCCACCAGAAATGAAGACGAGATTATCTTCAGATCTGAGTCGCCATTAACGAATCGGATCAAAGCATTTGATTTTTAAAAAAGCTCTCTTTTTTTGCTTTCTTCGTTTTCCCGACTTGTCTATGGTTTCTTCTCCAACTCGAACATGTTCTTCCCCAGTCTTCATAATTTCTTCGTTTTTGCTAAATGGGTCCTAAGGTTTCATAATTTACAATTTTGGTCCCCCAAATCTTATAAACACGGTTGGGAAATGGCCAAAATCAACCCGATCTATTTTCATGCGGTGTTTTTACATTTGGACAATCAATCGTTTCCTATCCGAACAGAACAAATATTCAAATTTACAACATGAACTTATCAACATTAGGCCAAAACCAACATCAACTTTATTGGTGTCAGTCAACCGTTAAATTCTGATGACTAAGTATATACAGCGGCGATGATGTGACGTAGTGCGGCTGACGCGGCAATTGACTCAAAAAAAAAAAACCGAAATTTTTTTTTATCTTAAGTAGGCTTCGAACCTGGTGAAAAGTTTTAATATATATATAGGTTTATAGCTTTTAAGCATATACGGTTAGGGAAAAATGTCATTTAATCCCTTAACTTTCAAATTATGGTCATTTGAGACATCAACTTCATATGTGGCCATTTAAAACATGAACTAAACGTTGACTAACGTTTGAGACATGGAAATTCGTTGACCAGGCCAAAATAGACATGCCGTTATCAGTCGTTAACGGAACCTCTAACGGCCGTTATCACCCCTAACGACTATGTTAGTCAACTTTCAAATTGTGGCCATTTTAAACATCAACTTCATATGTGGTCATTTAAAACATGAACTAAACGTTGACTAACATTTGAGACATGAGAATTCGTTGACTAGGCCAAAATAGACATGCTATCATAAGTCGCTAAAAGAACCTATAACATCCGTTAACGACTCTGTTAGTATGCCCAAAACGATTTTGTTTTGAGGATAATCGAGAAGGAAATAAGGATTTTTTCCAAATGAAAACCCCAAATCCTCAAATCTATTTCTACAATAACCCAAGCAAGACGAACAATCTCCATCTCTTTCAACTGCAGCTAGAAAGTGACCTTTTATTTCCCAATTCGGAAAAGCTTCATTTAGCCCTATGATGGGTCTACAAGTTTGCTTCCATGATTTCTTTTAAGATTAAAAACAGATATATAAACGAAAAACCTATATTTGCTTCCAATTACTGGCTCTGCGATTGTCTCTATATCAAACTATGTTCTTGGGTTCTGCTTTAAAACAAACTTTTTTATTTGAAGATTTCATTTGGGAAAAATCATGATTTCTTCTCGAGTATCCTCAAAACGACGTCCTTTTGGGCATACTAACAGAGTCGTTAACGGATGTTATAGGTTCTTTTAGCGACTTATGATAGCATGTCTATTTTGGCCTAGTCAACGAATTCTCATGTCTCAAATGTTAGTCAACGTTTAGTTCATGTTTTAAATGACCACATATGAAGTTGATGTTTAAAATGGCCACAATTTGAAAGTTGACTAACATAGTCGTTAGGGGTGATAACGGCCGTTAGAGGTTCCGTTAACGACTGATAACGGCATGTCTATTTTGGCCTGGTCAACGAATTTCCATGTCTCAAACGTTAGTCAACGTTTAGTTCATGTTTTAAATGACCACATATGAAGTTGATGTTTAAAATGACCACAATTTGAAAGTTGACTAACATAGTCGTTAGGGATGATAACGGCCGTTAGAGGTTCCGTTAACGACTGATAACGGCATGTCTATTTTGGCCTGGTCAACGAATTTTCATGTTTCAAACGTTAGTCAACGTTTAGTTCATGTTTTAAATGGCCACATATGAAGTTGATGTCTCAAATGACCACAATTTGAAAGTTGGGGGATTAAATGACATTTTTCCCTATACGGTTATACTAGTAAAAGGTTTTTTTTTTTTATTCACTAGTGAAAAATTTATAAGTTTTAATATATATATATATATATATATATATATATATATATATATATATATCTATATCTATAGAGTATGTGTCATGCATAAGGGTGTCACATGGATAACCCAATCCAACTCAACTCATTATCTAATGATTTTAGAATTAAATGAACTAGATCAATCCATAATCTCATTTAACTTGAAGGTTATATGATTAAATAGATTGATCTATTAAAATAAAAAATTAATTAGTAATTAACATAATTCAACAATAATCTTCTTCATCATCATCAATAAAAACATTTAAAAAAAAAGGAGAATAAATGTGGGTTTCGACATCATCAAAACAAAAAACCCTCTTTTAACATATAGAGGATGTCAAATATTTCTTTAAAATTAACATCCTTAGTAGTTCTTAAATGGTAGTTTTATGAATATTAATTGTTAAGATAACGATTCGCATCTAAAAATATATATAACTATTTCATTTTTTTGTTGTAGATATCATCGAAACATAAAAATTCTACATCATACACCGCCTCTTAGTTTAATATAAATATCTTACATGGTTTTCACTTTTGGATCATAACTAACCCCTCTTTTTTTTTTGCTTCATTTTTATTTAATTTTTTTAGCTTTACATATTTACTAATAGTTTTTACCTACGATCATAAGTTACGTGAATGGAAGCAACATCGTGAAACAAAACATGCCAATTTGATTGATATTTCAGCCGAACAAACAATTTGGGAATCTAGTTTCATGTATAGATAATCTTTTATCTACCTCTAATATGTTTTTTGATTCATCTGTTTTATAATTTATTGGGTAACAAATATTGTTTTAATATTTTTACTTACGACTTGTTTTATTTCAAGGTGGATGCCATCTATGAATAGATGATCTTTCTTCTAACCCTAATTTATTCTATCTTTTATGATTTGATGAGGTTTTTTTATTTATTTATTTGAACCATCAATATTGTCGTTTAAAATAGGTAAATTTCTCTCTCGATCGAAAATTTATTATCAATTATGGTTCCGTCCATTTTTAATTCTCATGGAATAACAAAAGCAGCAATATTAAATTAAATTTTTTTTATATATAGTGGTGTGGAGAGGAAATCAAATAACCAGAAAGCTTAATGAGGGAGGCTAATGTGGGATCAAATTTTATCCGGATCCGGTTCATGGGCCATATCTTTATCCAAACTAGTGGTAACACACTAACAATCGAGCAGTCCTTATTTATGGTTTTGTTTAGAGTATCTTCATTGGGAATATTTAGATAAGAAACTCTCATTAAACAAATAATAGTAATAATGTTATTATATTATTCAAAATTTATGAGAACCCCATATAAGAGAAATTCTATCTTTATCCTCAAAACATCAACACACGTCATTTTTAAATGGTTTTCATTTAATTTTTATAAATCATAAATTTATACTTTGAAAACGATTATGCCAGTTTATGAAGAATTTTTCGCTGTCACCTCCGCATGATGGATGATATTTAAATCGGTAATTTATCCGTAAATGACTTGTTTGATGTTTTAAGCATTAGTTGTTTCTCCGAAGAAGATATTGAACTAAATCTTAAATAAGATATTGTATGTGTTTCCTCCAAGAATATCAACGACGACAGAGACGTATTTCAATTTTTTATGTTTTTAGTTTTGACATGAGAATCAGATTTTCTTTCTACACACAAACTCTCTATTTTGGTAATTTATTAAATATGTATTTTTCTAATATGTCTCTACTTTTTTTTTATCCATGATTGCCTCTCTTTAGATTTTGTTTGATTTTGAGTCAACTTTTATTTTGTCTGAATAAAAACAACGAGTGAGTATATGTTATTTGTTAACTTCTTTTTTCAATATATAGGGCCTGATTGGTTACAACTATACCTTTATGTTTTTAACTGTAGAATTTAAGCTGTAGATTTTTCTGCTGTAGATTTAGGTTTTTGGCTGTAGATATTTTAGCTTTAGCTGTAACATTTTAAAATGAAAGTCTGATTGGTTCAGCTGTATGCTGTAGTTTATAGTTTTATATATTTATTGTGTTAACTATAAACTTATTATTCATATAAATAAAAAGTAAATTAAAATAAATAATAAATTACATATATATTTAGATGGTATAATATAAAAAAATTAATATATCTTTTCGTTAATTTTTTTATATTTTTAAACAACTACATGAATTTTTTTAGTAGAATCTAAATGGTAGTTGTATACTTATATGCATATAACTAATATATAAAGTATATATGTATATGTAGTTAAGATATGTCTAAGTCTGAACCTATATATGATAAAAATAAAAGAAAATCTCTTACGTAAGTTTCACAAAATAAAAAGAAAAAAAATCTCTTACGTAAAAGAAAAATGTCAAAAGATAAAAAAATATTTAAGAGTGGAGAGAGAAAGTGTTAATTTTCCTTAAAAAATTTCAAAGACAAAATTTTAGTGCTGTAGGTTTTGAGCTTTCTACAGCACAAAAAATGAAAACATAAAAAAATGGCTGTAGATTTGAAATATATATATAAAGCATGATTGCTATAGATTTAGTGCTTTAGAAAAAAATATGGCTGTGGACAGACTTCACAGCACCTTCCAATCACGCCCATAATCTTCTTTGCATGCTTTGAATGTATTAGAAAAGAAAATAAGGTTCATATCAAGTAGCTCAAGTACCCATTAAAAACTTATCAAATCTTTTCAATATACGTTATTTCTCTATTTGTTATTTCAAATGTAAATTTAAATTTTTGACTTATATTTATTTTATTTGAAAATAAAGTAAGAAGGAAAGAACGAAATGATTAAGGTGATTATTATATCATTTGAAGTAAAATATCATTAATAGTTAAGGTAAAATATACTATTTTACTGTATGTATTTTTTTTTAAATACTAAATATATGTGACTAAAAGTCAACAATAGTAGTTTGAGATATGATGGACCTAAGATAATTTTAATGCGATTTATCTTACTCACGTTACAATTATGTTCTAGCTATAGATATCGTTAGCAAT